GAGGTTGGCCCAGGATCGAGCATTGTTTCGTTCTGCTGTGCATGGGGTCGCTATGGGTCGGTTCCGACTCGATGGCACCTGACAACAACAACAACAGGGCTGCATCAGCTTTTTGAAAACATTTCAATTGGTATTTTGTCAGTTCCTGGAGCCTTGTTTTTCACTAGTGCCTTCAGTGCAGCTTGGACTTCCTTCTTCAATACCATTGGTTCTTGATTTTATGTGTCCTCTTGAAATGGTTGCATATCAACCAGTTCTTCTTGGTACAGTGACTGTGTATTCCTTCCATCTTCTTTTTCCATTTGTGTCCTTCAGGATTTTCCCCATTTTGTTGTTGTTGTTAAGTGCCATTGAGTTGGTTCCCACTCATAGCAACCCTGTATAGGGTTTCTGAGGAGTGACTGGTGAGTTTGAACCACCAACCTTGCAATTCAAACCTACCTTGCAACCCAGTGCTTTGTCCTGCAGCGCCACATAGAATCCTACAAGACTGCAGTTTGAGGTTCAGATTTTGTCTTCAGTTCTTTCTGCTTGAGAAATGCTGAACATGCTCTTACATTTTGGTTTTCAAACTCCACATCTTTGTACATTTCATTATAATACTGGAGTTTGTCTTCTCGAGCTGCCCTTTGAAATTTTCTGTTACGATCTTTAAATTTTATCATTTTTTCCCGTCACTTTAGCTTTGCTACATTCAAGAGTAAGTTTTAGAGTCTCTTTTGACATCCACTTTAGTCTTTTCTTTCTTTCCTGTATTTTTAATGACTGTTATCTTCGTGTTTAATGTTTGTGATATCATCCCACAACTCCTCTGGTCTTCTGTTATATTGTCAAATCCATTCAAATGGTCTGTAAATTCAGGTGTGATATATAGTCAAAGGCTTAGTCTCTAGTGGACTTATTTTCATTTTCTTCAGCTTCAGCCTAAATTTGCATATGCAATTTGTGTTCTGTTCCACAATCAGCCCCTGGCCTTGTTTTATTATTTTTTTGAATTCCCTTTTTTATTGTGAATTGAGTGAAAGTTTACAGAGCAGACGATCAGTTTTACCTTCTATAAATCATATACTTCATTTCATCTCAGTGATCACAGTGCCCTTAATGGGACTTATCCCATTTCTTCCCTGTGATTCTTCTTTCCATTCCTCTTTCTTTCCCATCCTTGTAAATGTTGTCCTTAGATAATACTGCCATTTGATCGCACGTGATTGACCATTCTATGGGGTGCACATCTCAGTAGTGTTGTTGGCCCCGCTATATACCTATCTACTGCTTGGCTTAAAATTGAGTCATGAGAGTGAGTTCAGTTCCAGACCTGCTGGGTGACCAAGAGCGTAGTCTCGAAGTTTCCCCAGTCTCTTTATTACCAGTAATCCTGGTCTTTTTATGATTCTAAGATTTGTTCCACATTCCCTCCCACTCCCACTTTCTAATGTAGTCCCTTTCAGAGCAGTTGATAGAGGTAGTCAGGCACTATCTAGTTGTGGTCTCAGGAACATGGAGACTGATGTTCACGTGGTCTCTTAGTCCATGGAACTCTTGTTCCCAACTGTCTTCAATGTTCATCTCTCTTCTTCCCTCCACGCAGGGAGAGACCAATAGATGCCCCTTTGCTGGCCACTCATGAACTTTAAGACCCCCAGTCAGTACTCACAAAGTAGAATAGAGAACTATGTTGTGTGTTGTCGGCTGTGGTAGGCCAATTGACCACAACATCTCCCAAAACTATAGTTCTGAGTCTCCCGGCCCAGCAACTCATTCCCTCCGGGTGTTTGGTAATATCTAAAAAGTTGTCCTGATTTTTCTCTGGCCTTGTTTTTCTGATGCTACTGAGATTCTCCATCATTTCTTCCCACACATGTAGTCAATTTGATACCTGTGTGTATTCCATCTGCTGAGGTCCATGTGTATTAGTCACTATTTATGATGTTGGAAAATGGTGTATTTGCAATGAATAAGTCATTGATATTACAAAATTATATACTGTAATCTCCAGCATAGTGTCTCTCACCAATACCTTATTTTCTGACTACTCATCCTACTTCTTTGTTTCTAAGGTTCACATTCCAATCACTAACCATTATTGCTGCCTCTTGATTGGGTGTATGATCAATTTCAGACTGAAGAAGTTGTTAGAATTCATCAATTTCATCATCATTGGCTTTAGTGGTTGGTAAATTTTATTAGTAGTCTGATCAACTGGTCTTTCTTGTCAGCATGTAGATATTATCTTATCACAGACAGCATTGTACTTTTAGATCTTGAAATGCTCTTTTTGATGATGAATGTAAAGCTGTTCCCCTTCAGTTTGCCATTCCCAGCATAGTAAGCCACTGTACAATTCACAATGGTCAATACCAGTCTATTTCAGCTTGCTAATGCCTAGAATGAGACCTCTCTTTATGTGTTCCGTTTCATTTTTAACAACTTCCAATGTTCCTTGATTCATGCTTTGTACATTCCACATTCCAATTATTAATGGATGTTTGCAGCTCTTCTCATTTTGAGTTGTGTCCCTAACAGCAAATGAAGGTCCCAAAAGCTTTGCTCTGTTTATGTCATTAAAGTCAATGCTACTTTGAGGAGTTAGCTCTTCCTGTGTTGTATCTTGAATGCCTGACCATTCTGAATGCCTGACCAATCCTTTAGCACTATGTCTACCAATGTCCCATTGTTGTTCATAAAGTTTTCAGTGGCTAACCATTCAGAAATGGAATGCCTCTCCTTCTCCCTCATCTTTCTTAGTCTGCAAGTTCCACTGAAACCTGTCCACCATGAGTGACCCTGTTGTTGTTGTTGTTGTTGTTAAGTGCCATTGAGTCAGTTCCAACTCATAGCGACCCTATATAGGGTTTTCAAGGAACGATTGGTGAGTTGGAACCACTGACCTTGTGGTTCAGATGACCTTGTGGTCCAGTGCTTTATCCCACAGCACCACACTAGTACAACATGGGCGACTTTACTGGTATCTAAAATACCGGTGGCATAGCTTCAAGCATCACAGTACCACACAAGCCACCACAGTACAACAAAATGACAGGTGAGTGGTAGCCGTAAACTTTACAGCCTGGGGAACCCTGTGGGACCACTAGATTCTGTCCTATGAATCAGAATTGGGCTCTGCAGCAGTAGATTTTCAGTTTTTGGTTTATTCAAACTGGGTTGAGTAATATAATTTATTGAGCATTTACTATGTGCAAGGCATGGGTCTCTGCTTTTTTGAACATTAATTTCTATAATCCCCCAACACTACCATATCCAAAACTGCCTCATCTTTTTCTCCTGAAGTCACTGAGACCCGTAGTCACAAACCCTGCAGGAGGTGGAACTGGGCTCTGAGCCAGGGTTTTGTCTCCCCAGAGCCACACTCTTTACATCCATGTGGCATAACTTACACAAATGAAAACCAGGTTTGTGTGTCTTCCATAGAAAACAATGGATTAGAAAAAGACACAGATCCTTGTCAGCAGCTCCACTCTCACAGCGCCCCATTCCCTAACACTCTTCTACACAGGGTTTCTTCATCTGTCAAACGAGGGTGAAAATATGTAACTCATAGGCTGATGAAAGGGGGTGGCACAGGGACAAGTGTTAAATCAATGTTTGAGGACTCTGAGTCGGTGACTGTAGATGACACGAAGGAGTTCCCAGTAATCAGTTCCCCTTCACCGTCCATGCAAGCATTGCCTCAGAGTGACTCTTAGTCATTTTGAATGTTTAAGAAAGAAAAACACAACAGTTCCTGTTACCACAGCATTCACTATGTTCTCTCCTTTTTATCCTTTCTTTTCCAGATGGGGTGCAGGTGCTGTAAAATGGTACAAAGGTAAAGTTGAAAAATACTTCTCAAAAGAGGACTTTGTGCAATCACTTTTAAAGATCATGCATGGATTCTAGTACATTCATCCAGCTTAGAACATGATGGAAATGGGCAAGAAATTAAGTGTTTGCAACTGCTTTGACGTCTTTCAAGAGGATGCGTGACCTAGATTTTTAAACTCTTTGTGGTCACTCTTTAGAGCCTGCTGAGCACAGCGTTGTTCTCTGAACCCAGTTTGGTTTAGGTTGAGTTTCTATTTCTCCAGGGAGCTTCAGCACACACACACACACACACACACACACACACACACATACACAAAAGCTTAGGTTTCAGAGAATGCATGAAATTGCATCACTGAAAATTAATCTCCCCAACCACATGTGTGCTTTTAATTTTGTCCATAATTCATTTTGTGAAAATGTTGGTAATAAGAATAAAATTCGACATAAACTAAAGGGACAAAAGTAACTGACATTTGTGCCCCCTTGCCAGTAAAAATGTCTATCATTCTAGTTTGATTCCATACATATATCTATAAGGTTTATATATGAGGTTGAGTCAAAATTATCCGCACACAGCTGGTGACAACACAGTGTGCACGTGAAACGATTCTGTCAAATAGACGAGTGACAGTGTGGCGAATCATTTGCAAATCAGCCGTGGCTCTGCCTATGAAATAACCCACGACAGACTTGGGTTTCAAAAGTTTGTGTAAGATAGATACTGAAACAACTTACAGAAGAGCATAAAACAGAAGTGTTTGGACATCTACGAAGAGAATTTGGACCAATATTCGAAGGTAAGTTTTGTATAAAAAAATCATTGCTGGTGATGACATATGGATTCATCACTACAAGTCTGAGAATAAATGGTAGAGTATGGAATGGAAACATCCTCATTCGCTGACCACGAGAAAGTTCAGAAGCCAACCATCAGCTGGAAAGTTGTTGCTTTGGGGTCTTCAAAGGCCAGTATTGGAACACTATTGGGAGGGGTGGGGGAAGCTTCAACAATCAACAAAGCTAATTACAGTGAGATGCTCACTGGAGCCGAAATTTGGGATTAAATGCAGAGGACTGCTATCCCAGGGCATTGTGATCTTGCATGATAATGCACATCTTCACACCTCTGCCCACACTATTGAAACTCTGCAAAAACATCATTTTCAGGTGTTAAAACATCCTTCCTAGAGTCTTGATCTTGTGCCATCATGCTTTCTCCTGTTTGGTCCCCTGAAAATAGCCCTTGGAGGACAAAGATTCACCTCTGATGAAGAAGTGAAGACAGCGGTGCATTCGTGGCTCGCAGCTCAGCCTAAAACATTTTTTAAATAAGAGAATATGAAAGCTTGTTGAAAGCTGGACAAAATTTAATGAAAAGCAAGGAGATTATATTGACAAATTAAATGATGTATTTATCTTGATTAAAGTAAATTCTACAGCCAGAGTGCAGATAATTTTTGACTCACCCTTGTATAATATATGTAATTACATAACATACATGTAATGTGTGGCAATATGATATACATGATATATATGATATGTATTACATGACACAATGTGTTTTGAATAATGTCTAGCATCATAAATTATGTATAAGGAAACGTCATAGAAAAGTGGACTTAAATGGTAATGAAGTTTTCCCACAAACTTTTTGAAGTCCTCTCATATATATGTAATGTGATAGTCAGTATTATTCAAAGCACATTTATTATTATAAGTGTTATATATTATTGCTTATTTATATAAGGATCCATGGTGATGCCATGGGTTAAGCATCAGACTGCTAACCTCAAGGTCAGCAGTTCAAATCCACCAGCCACGCCATAGGAGAAAGATGAATTTATCTAATCTCATAGAGATTTACAGTGTCAACAGATCCAAGGAGCAGTTCTACTCTGTCTTGTAGGCTTGCTATGGGTCGGAATTGACTCAACAGCACTTAATGACAACATTTATATATTATATGTAATCAAATATTATACGTCATATAATTACATATGTATAATGTGGTGTTAGACATTATTCAAAACACATTTAGTATAAGTGTCTGTCATGCTGCTGCATTCTGTTGACTGCCTAACAGTCCACTTAGGGAACATACTATCAGTACTTAGCCATCTATTTCCCTATTATTTGGACATTTACCTTATTTACTTTTTTATTTTTTAGTTCCACAAACCACTTTATACAATGCCTTCTTTTCTCCCTCCTTAAGATCTGTTGCAACGACATCTATTTGATTTAGATCAATCAAATCTTGCTTGGCTTTAAAAGAGTAATTAATCCTAGAAATGAAATGGACAGCAATAGTGGAAAGAAGCAAAGGCTGTGGTAGAAAGTACGAATCCTCACGCGAACTCGACTGATTTTCCATCTTCTCACCCCCAGCTATCTCTTCGACCCTGTGCAAGTGCCCTCTCCTGGCTACGTCAATGAAGTAAACAGCTGCAAGTTAGATGAAGAAGACACTGCTAAGTTAAAAGACAAGCAGAGCAGCGAAGGCCTGGTGCATAAAAATTATCTTCTCAATGAGGGTTTGAAGAGAACTGAGAGCCGAAGCAGAACCGCGAACCCTCAGGGGGACCCAGGAGGGAACCTCTGTGCAGAGAAGACTGATGGTGCTGTCAATGGTGTGGGCCCCGCTGCCACACTGCAGCCCCCTGGGAATCCCAGGCCCCAGCACGGTAGCAGGGGCTCCTTAGCCGGTACTTCAAATGATGTTCATCCACCTCTTCTCCTCCTTGAAGGAGGGGATGCCAGGAAACAGGATTGTGTGCTGGCTGCTTCAGAAAAGACCCAAGTCATCCAGAATGGAGACTCTGGAGCCCCTTCCAAGACAGACAGTCTCAACGTGGATGTACAAGATAGTATCTCACAGATACCAGCCCCAGATTACCCTCAGCTTTGGGACTCCGCAGTAGACAATGGTGATCATGAAGAAAAGGATTATCTTTTCCGAACCCTTACTGAGGGTGAACACCAGGAAAGAATTTTCCCTCAGGTCTTGAATACACCCTATAAGAAGAGGAGCTGGGATTCATTAAACGAGGGTGTGGCGACAGATGTTCTAAGTGTCTACTTTGACGAGAAGGATGCTGCTCATTCCGTGCCTGTGGTTGATACGAGAAATGGGCAGGAGGATGTCCATGGCTCCAGTGCAGACTGGAACAGAGAGATGGGGGATGAGGACGCAGCAGTGGCAGAAGCCCTTGCAGCTTTAGAAGCTGCTACTGCTGGTGAAGACATCGATGAGGGGTACTAGGGGAGGAGATTGTGCCGGCAAGTAAGCTGCTGTCTGGACATAGCTGGACACAAAGGGATGCATTTGCTCATGAGAAACAGAGGTGATATTCCACCAGTGGGCACCAGTGCAGTCAGACCAGTTGTTTACACCCAGTCTTTGTTCGGATCGTCATACCTGTGCCAGACTGCTTGTTACATATTTAGAGCATCGCTCTGTTCGGATGGGCTATCATGTAGGACATGACACTCGGATATACATCATGAGGACTACTGCATCCACGTCCACAGCAAATGCAAAACGGAAGCAGCCTGTTTGCCCTCCCTCATCATTCCCCAGCATATCTGACTCAAAAGTTCACAAGATGCTCTGAAGTCCCAGCTTTTAATCCAAAGGTACAGAATCATAGCGCATTCTGTGTGACAGTAAATTCCTTCTCTTGCTTTTGAGAGCCAAATGTTGGACTGGTGACAACCCACTGAAAGTGCCTAATGTGTACCCAGAGCATGGCTTCCCTTTAGGGACAATCATCCAGGGAGCTAATAACTAACCATTTGTTTCACACTGAGTTACGCTCCACAGCGTTCAGGGTAGATCAGAATTCACCAGGAAAGAAATGGTTGGTTGTTAGCTGTGATACTAAGACACCTTAACCTTAGCTTTTTTACATTATTACTTTTTATTCTCCTTTGGGGTTGGGGAGGCTGGCCAAAGTAATTTTTAAAACTGCTTGTGTCATATTCGGGTCTTAAGTTCATGAGGTTGTTTGGAATAGCAAAAGGATAACCGGATTGCTGTATGCCATTAAATGTCTGACTCTGATTCAAACATAACATGTGTTTGTCTTAACTCTAATGGGGTTCTAATTTTCTCAGATTAAGTATCAAAGATGCTTGAAGTTTCTTTTGATGTAGAGTTAGACTAGTAAATTATAGTCAAGAAAGAGACGAAGCTGGGAACTTTGGACACTGGCCACCTACAATGGCGGTCTGTAAAGGCACGAAGTGACTGGCTTACAAGTTTTCAAGAGGAAATTTAGATTCAGCATATGCCAGAGGAAGGTAGAATCCCCACTGAATAGTTTTCATCCTGTTTAGATGGGTCTGCTGAAAGGAGATGGGGACAAGATTCTTATGATTCAGTAGTGAGTAACTGTTATCATGACTAATTGCAATTGTCCTAAGTGTAAAGGTAGAAGTTTTGTAGCAAAAAGCGGTGAGTGGTTGATCTTACAGTCCAGGAATGGAGGCCCTGGGACCATAAAGGGAGATGAGCTGGAGTGGAGTGTGGGACCCTATCTAGAGAAATGGTGACACCAGAGATGAGGCGGAGATGATGATGTGCAGAGATGGAGTAGTTGAGGATTCTAGACTTATGGAGGGCGAGGGGCTGTGTGCTGGCAGGTTTGCAGGGTGTGCCCTTTGGTTGTTCGAATGATTGTATATTCCTGAGTGTTTTGGTATACATCCAAAAAAAGAGGAAAAAAAAAAAAAAAAACAGAGGGAATAGCAGCAAATATTGTTGAATGATGATGTATGCAGGGGATTGTAATCCTTGCAATGAAACGAATACGATAGGATAAGTGTAAGGTTGATGTTCCCCCATGTAAACTATCACTCAATTCACAATAAAAACTTTTTTTAAACAAAAAGAAAAAAGAGACCAAGTCAGTGAACTGAGCAAAGGCCTTGTTCCTCAAGTTGAAAGTCTGATGCCACGACTACTTTCTTACCTGGAGTATGACCAAGCCCTCTGTAGATTTCAGCCTTCTAATTTATAAAAACCAGGACCGCCATTCTGACTTAGCTCACTGGAACACTTCTAGGAGTTAAGAATAGTGGAAATGCTCTGTAAATATGCAAAAGCATCTACATGAAAGACAACTTAGTATGGTGTTGTATAACACAAGCTCTGAACTCCGACTGATACTGGATTAAATTTTAGCTCTGCCATGTGGCCTTTGGCAAGTAACTTATCCCTTCCATTTTTCCATTTGTTAAGTAAGAATAATAATAGTATATGCTTGTAAAATTTTAAATTAGATGCTGCAAGCATTTTTGCATGGTGCTGGCACACAATGGTGGTGGTGGTGGTTGTTCATTGTCAAATCGGTTCTGACTCATAGCGACCCTGTACAGGGTTTCCGAGGCTGTAGATCTTTAGGGGAGCAGAAAGCCTCATCTTTCTCCCATGGAGCAGCTGGTAGATTCAAACTGCTGACCTTGCGGTTAGCAGCCCAATGTGTAATCCACTCCCATGGCTCCTTGGCACATAATAGGCACTCAATAAAATGAGTCTTATTGGTTAAAAATAAATCTTTTGAAAAATTTTAACCACCTCACACCTGAAAGCTCTAACATTATGAAGTATTGATAATGCCATAGCTGTCTTTCAGCAGGTATTCATTGTAAAACATGATTTCTAAGTCTTCCAACATCTTCAAGGTTGGCCCCCTTAACAATGCTCAATGGGAATACATGATGCCAGGTTTGTTGATATGGTGGTGACAAGACAGCTATACATACAAGGTCCCTCGGCCCTTCAAAGATAAACTGTTGACATTATGAATTGCATTGTAGATGTGTTTGCCTTTAGTACACCAAATGCAGAATGCACATTCCTTCAGCAACCTTCCAAGTAGATCATTGGAGATTAGCTTCAGCCACATCTGATAACTGGCTTAAACCAATATTGGTTTGTTTCTCTCTTAGCTAAAAGATGTCTGAAGGCAACAGTCCAGATTGGTAGAGCATCCCATGGCATCAGAGGTTCATGCTTTTGTCAGTTTCCCTTCTCAAGGTCACCTCATGGTCCACCTGGTTACTGGAGTTCTAGTCATGACATTCGCTTCCCATGCAGGACAAGAATAATCAAAAGACACTTCTCCCTTTCTATAAAGGACCTCCTGGAAGTATAATAATTCAACCCTCTGATTTATATCTCATTGGTCAGCAGCTGCTCACTTGACCACATCTTGCTACAATAGAGGCTGGAAAAATAGCCTTTCTAGCAACATTCATTTGTTGTTGTTGTTGTTGTTGTTGTCAGGTACTGTTGGGTCAGTTGCGACTCCTAATGACCTCATATACAACAGACCAAAATGCTGCGCGGTCCTGTGCCATCCTCCCAGTTGCTCTGTTTGAGCCCATTGTTGGAACTACCGTATCCATCCATCTCACTGAGCTGGATCCATCTAACCCTCTTCTTCGCTGACCCACTTCTTTGCCTATCATGATGTCCTTTACCAGGGACTGGTGTCCAAAGTATGTGAGACAAAGTCTCAACACCCTCGCTTCTAAGGAGCATCCGGATGTACTTCTTCCAACACAGATCTGTTCATTCTCCTAGCAGTCCCCGGCTCATTTCATATTGTTTGCCATACCAGGTTTCAAAGTTCCATGCATGGCCTCCCCACATGAATTCAGGGATCTGAAACTGAGAAGTGGGACAATACACATTGAGTTTCTGTTTTTTAACTTTTTATTGTGAATTGAGTGAAGGTTTACAGACAAGATCATCAGTCTTCCTTGGAGGGGAGTGATTAACTTTGCAGGCTAGGAGCGGAGGTCCCTGGAACCATGAAGGGAGAAGAGCGGAGAGCGGGACCCTACCCAGAGAAGCAGTGATGCCTGAGATGGAGGCAGAGATGATGACATGGAGAGTTGGAGCAGCTGGGGACTCTGGACCCAGGGAGGGTGAGGGCCTATGTGCTGACGATGGGGGGTGGGGGGCAGGCTTGTAGGATGTACCCTTTCGTTGATTGGTGATGTGTAGAGGGGATTGTAACCATGGCAATGAAACAATATACGATAGGATGAACGTAAAACTAATGTTCTCCCATGTAAACTATCACATAATTCACAATAAAAATTTAAAAAAAAAAAGAACATCAGTTTTACATTCAACAAATCATTCACTTTGTTTCATCTCAATGATTGTAACCCCCTCACGGAACAACAGTGATCCTGCTTCCTCCCTGGGGTTCCTAGTTCTAGTCCCCCC